GGGAACTTCGGATATTGATTCTGGTTCATCCATTCATTGTTATTATTATTATTGAGGGAAGAATAAGATTGGTGAAGTGAAGGAGGAGGAGGAAGGTGGAGAGAGAAGGGGGAATTGTATTGGTCTTGCTGGTGTACTTCTTCTTCTTCTTCTTTACCTCTCCTCTGGGCTTTATCTCTTTGCAAGTGCTTTCATTTCTTTCACAATTGGGTGGCATTGTCTTTCATTGTGAATTTGCACTTGGGAAACGACCAGGATCGTAACAGTCCATAGAAGGAGTTGGATGGGATGTTCATGGAGGAGAGACGACGAGAGGGAATCCCAGACATCCGAGGCCCTCGCCCAGTATCCGGTCGCCTCTCTACAGCGTATCAGGCAATGTAGCATTTCTTCACGTTCATTTTCTGAACATACCGCGCGTAAATCTGAACTGTTAGGGTCATTCTTGCTTCTTCTGATATGCAGCCACTGGTTGACCGGTAGAGCTACGTATGAGATGAGCCATTGTAGGCTTCTGATTTTAACCAGCCGAATTGACCTGAATTTTTTCCATGGTATTTGTGGGATCTGACTAGCGTCTTGAACTATTAACTTCTGCCATCTGTTCTTGATCGTTGGTTCAGGATCCTTCGTTTTGAGGAGAAAGTTGTATCCCAGCTTGACTGTGTATTCCTGAATGGAGACTTTAGTTTTGAGGCTTCTGCTTCGGTCTGGTGTCCAAGCCCACTCTGCTGGATCCAATTCCAAGTCTTGAATCGCCATATCTATTCTGAAGATTGTTTTTGGCCATGAACTTAAATTTCTTCCATGGTATTTGTGGGATCTGACTAGCGTCTTGACCTATTAACTTATGCCATCTGTTCTTGATCGTTGGTTCAGGATCCTTCGTTTTGAGGAGTAAGTTGTATCCCAGCTTGACTGTGTATTCCTGAATGGAGACTTTAGTTTTGAGGCTTCTGCTTCGGTCTGGTGTCCAAGCCCACTCTGTTGGATCAAATTCCNGGAGACTTTAGTTTTGAGGCTTCTGCTTCGGTCTGGTGTCCAAGCCCACTCTGTTGGATCAAATTCCAAGTCTTGAATCGCCGTATCTATTCTGAAGATTGTTTTTGGCCATGAACCCAGCACTCTGACTTTTCTGAGTACCAAAGGGTTTAGGACTGTTCTTTCCACCTCCTTATTCATGATAGACGAGAGGCCTTGCGTGGAGGGGGTAATCGGGAAGGAGGTAAACACTGCCAAAGTATCCGACCCTTGCTGTTTATGGGCGAATTGATAGGCCCTTGTGGGGGTTGAATCCTGCAACCTCACTCCCCATTCACCCAATTTTCAAGTTGAGACTTCGCTTAACAACTCCTTCCAGCCTTCTGGGATGCAGTTGACGATAGATTGTAAGTTCTCATCTCGTTCGTGACATCCTTTGAGCTGGGAGGCAAGTTCCTGGTCTGTCATCCAGTCCTTTTTCTCCTTGTTCCACAAATGGCTCACTTTCCAAACTCCATGTTTGATCCATGATAACCATCTCCTTCCTCTAGGCTCAAGGGATAGTTGGTGATCACTTTCATCTCTCACCCACCGATTACCAAACAAGGGTTGCCTTAGTACCTCATTTGGATTTGGGTCTACCCACTTTCCTTGGCATGACTTCCTGCCATATCCGTAATGATGCAGTCCAATATGGTGTAGGGGGTCTGACTTCATTTGGCTCGGTTCCTCTTCGTTGATTTCTGCATCCTGTTCTTGGACTCCATTCCTTGGTCATTACCGAGCACAGTCCGGACATATTTGCTGGTGTGGTTGTAGGTGCTAGGGCCCTAATGCTATCCAAGGCCAGTTTATTCCATCCCGTGCCAGGTTTAGTCAGTAGTTGACTATTCATTTGACTTGTAAGGCTTTGGTTTCCTGTTTGGGGTCTATGATACCAAGACCTCCTTCGGCTGGTTTCCTTGTGATGTAATGCCAAGCTATCTTTGGTATGCCGTTCTCTTTGTTTGGGTCACCCGACCACAAGTATGCTCTTGGTTTACGGTTAAGTTGCTTGATCGTATGGTCAGGTACAGTCCAGATTGACGCTATGTACCACATCATAGAAAAAATAGATGTATTAATGGCTAGTGCACGCCCCAACAATGATGTGAATGTATTACCCCATCTGCCCAGTTTGTTAATTTGTTTGGCGAGTATATTTTGGGCCATTTGAGCGGCGAGGCCATCCTTTGTCAGCAAGATGCCTAGATATCGCGTAGGTGTCTCCGGTGTCTCCCATGTCATGTCTGCCTCAGGGCCTAGACGTTGATGAACCTCCTCCTCCGATAGCCACCAACCAATTGGTTTCTTCCAATTAATCTTCATTTCTGATGCCAGTCTGAATGCTTCCATTGCTCTTACTAACGCGCTGAACGACGAGTCTGAAGCTCTTATGAGGACCGTGAGATCGTTTGCAAACATTATTACCGTCGGGAACTGTAAGTGGTGGGTCGATCCTAAATTGACCTCTAGTAGTCTGTGTATGGAGGTTTTTTTGCATAGGAATGAGGCTATTGCTTCCATAACCAAGAGGAAGATTGGGGGAGCCAGCGGGTCCCCTCGGCGCACTGACCGGGAGATTGGAAAGCAGTCAAAGAGCAAGCCGTTGACTTGGACACGTCCTATGGCGTCATTATACAGAATGCGCACCCACTTCCAGAAATCCGGGCCCACTCCCATCTTTTCCATGCTTGCATTGAGAAAGGCCCAGTTGACTTGGTCATAGGCCTTTTCAAAATCAAAGAAGAGGATTGTTGTGTTTATCCTTTTTTCTTTGACTTTGTTAGCCGCTTCGCTGAGAGTCCGTACATTATCCAGGATGTACCTCCCAGGGATGAAGCCTATTTGATCTATATGAAAGCATATTTTGTCTGTCAGGTCTAGGATCCGAAAGGCAAGAGCTTTAGCAAGGATCGTATAGGGAAATGTTAGAAGCGAGATGGGTCTGTAATTCCTTATATCTTCCCTCTCTCCTTTTTTGTACAACAAAGTGACCTTGCTGCTACTCAGTAGGCTTCGCAGTCCCCCCTTGAGCCAGCTGTCGTTGTAGAAGTTTAGCACATCTCCTCCTAGGAGCGGCCAGAACTTTTCCCAAAATTCGTTTGTCAGCCCGTCAATTACTGGAGACTTATTGTTGTGCATATTTCGAACAGCAAATTGCAGCTCTTCCGTGGTGATGGGCATGTCCAGATTTTCTGCTTGTTCTTGAGATA